TTGTTAGCCTACTTTCGATGATCATTAAAAGCCACAGAGGAGGGAAATAAGCATCACTCATCTCACATGTTAGTAACTGAATGCCCTCTAGCGAGACTGTCATGCTCTTAGATCTACCAGTTCTTTATTTCCTTATAAGAGAGACAAAAAAAGACTTTTACATCTTTCCTTAATGTAAAACTTTAGGAGTGCATCATCTAGTTAAGCAGAGTGTTTAATGCCCACTGAAAGAGGAATTTTATGCCTGCTCAATGGAGACTTTCACAGCAACTATAGTGGATTTCTCTTCACAAGAGCGATTCAGATAGGCTTGTGCCTAATGGCTTGGGGCACTGGCAAACAATATTGCTGTCTGGTGTGATTGTCCACTCACAGTTACACTATTTATATGGATGTATATGACAAAAAGGAAGCTAGCTGAAAAATTATCCTCCTAGGGATTATTTCCTCAAGTGTCAAGGATCATCCCAACCTATAGACCAAGCAGTCTGTTCCCCTATGCCAGGAGGTATGCAGGTTCAGCCTGCCTGCTCACTCATGCTTAAGGATGTCTGGAAAACATCCCTAACTGTCCGATTATTTACTCTCCCTGCCTGATTTTTGTAAAATGTGTCAGACAGCTGTGGCTAGTTTCTGTTAGCACACGTAACAAGGTTTTGAAACAAAGCTTGTGTTTTGAAGCATCTCAGGGGCAGTATTTTTCTCATCTTCATTCATTTTTATCTGTGTAAGGAAACAAAAATAATTTTCAGATATATTGTAGCAGGGAAACTAAGTTCTGAGTGAGCAAAAGGGCCACAAAAAAGGCAACGATACCTGGATGCAGTCTCAATGGTCCTGATTTGGCTTCAACATTGAAATTTTGGGAGAATGGATCACTGCAAAAAATGCACCACCTGAAGGCAATACATCATGCTGAGAGGCTTGCCAAAAGTACCAGCCAATGCATGGAATGGATTGAAGTAGTATGGTACTGTAGAATTTTTGTTGGGGTCACAGAAAGATTTAACCCATGTAGAAAAAAGTGTTCTGCCAGCATTTCCATGTGTCACATACAGCAATGGTTGAGTTCTGTCCCAAAGCGCTTTCTACTGCCTGAGTCTTTCTTATAGAAGAGAAAACTGTACACTATCCAGAGTGTACAAAAGGAAATATAGTAGTTAATTAACATTTCAAATGTGTGGTGTAACATCACCAGGCACTTTGCTGGACATGAGAGTTATTCTTCAAAACTGTTAATGATCAATTTAAATATTTTAATATTAAATGACTCATGAATTTATTGAAATATTTATGCTCTGTTAGTAGGACTTTCGGCATGTGAAAGTACACAAACAGTTTCTTTCGTTGCTTTCCCCCTATCCTCTTTTAAATACCAAGATTAGGCTTACTTAAAAGAAGTCATTATTTTTCTGCAACATTAGAAGTTGACCCTGTGCTTACTGCTCTGAAAACAAACTCGCAAATAATGAAATGAGAGCATAGCACTCGCGTAACTTAAGGAATGAAAGACTCCTCCAATTTTTTGCAGTCGGTGGTGCCTGGCCAGCCTGCCGTTTTGCACACCTTTGGCACCGGTAAAGCTTTACTGTGCTGGGGGGACTGGCAGGATTCTAAGACTGTACTGGGAGGCTGAGAGATGATAAAGAACTTAGAGTTGCATAACTTGTTTTTTTCTGGAACTATTTTGTATTTTATTAAAAGCTCAGTATATTTTCATTTAAAGACATTTTTCACTGGAAGTCATTTGCTATATTACCTCCCAAGCAGCTATTGCCTTTATCAGTGCTTTAATATTTATGTGTGCAGTTTCACTTTCCTTTTTGTGCAGCATCTGACTAGTGTGAACACTCAGACTGAAAACCCGGCTTCGCTGATGTCGCAGAAGGGTCCTCGCTGGATACACATATTGTGGCATCTGCACCACAGCCACCCAAGGGGAATTTGCAAGTGCCAGGTAAGAATCCAGCATCCCTGTTGGCACGAAGGGGAAAAGGGGTGCAAGGGTTGAGGTTCACAGCCATCTGCCTCCCTGCCCCTAGAGCTGCCCAGGTCAGTCTGTAGGGAACATGAAGCAGGGTTGGAAATGAAGCCTTCCCCTCTGCATCAGGTGCCAGTTGGTGTGCATTCACAGTGATAACCACTTGGATTCAGGTGCCTTGAGGGAAGGGTCCCTTCATGCAAGGCATCCCACATCTCTGCTTTGCCTCCTTTTTGGTGCTTTAGTGCAAAGGAGTTGAATCCAAGCCTCCTGGAAGTGCCCTAGCTCTTATTTTTGAGAATAGAATGAATGGGAGGAGGAGGAGAGGAGTGCAAGTAATCTTTCTCCTCCAGTGAAACCCCTCCATTTAGGCTAAGCCACTTGAGTAGGCACTAGAACAAAGCCCAGGAAAAATGTCTGCAGGGTATGTTCCCAATTAACTGATCTGGGTCACTTTCTCCAGCACAGGAAAAGGATTAAATTCCTAAATGGGCCGTTCAGCACCTGCTCCTCACACAAACCTAACTTCAAGTTCTGCCATTGGCTTCAATCAGGCTCCTTTTCCACGTATAGAAATATAAAAGATAAAATTCTAGAAGGAACAGGAAGGATTCACAAGGACACTGAAAATAATTTGTGCAAAACCACAGCACTGCTGTGGGCTGCTCTTGATGCTGCTGTTAGTCATCATACTCAGTGTACCTGGCTGAAGAAGCGGGCCAGTTATCCCTCACTGTCACGCAGGCTAAAGAAAGCAGCATGAGGCACTTCTTCTGTTACGTTAACATTTCCAAGTTCTGTGCTAATTCAGCCGCTGCCTGATATTCCAGATTTAAGAGATTAATGGGAAAGCCAGAAATAACATTTCATCATTGTAGTATATATGGTAGGTATGATTATGTCTTTTTCCTTCCTTCAGAAGTAATGGGATTAGAACAGGAAGAGAGACGTGACATGCATCATAGGTAAACAACAGTCATCAATCTCTTCCTGTGACAGCATTAGAAAAAAAGTACAGTCACTCTACTGGGCTCTGGGATTCCCCCCAGTCAACCAGAATTTCAAACTTCCCTTTCTCAATGTAAGTGGTTAGTACTAGAAACTTTTAATCAGCGTAGTGGAAAAGGGAGAGGAATTGTGTGATAGACTACTGTGCTGAAGAATTTCTCTCTTCGAAAGAAAAGACAAATGAAAATGTACTTGGTGAACCATTTAACACTTTAAAATTATTTTTGAAAATTTAGTTTTCATAATAAGCACACGAAGTTATAAAGCACACAAAGTCCTTAACTTGCAAAACAGTTTTATTTCACACTTGTACAAAGTCCATAGACATTTTAAAACACTTACACATAGGTTACATCTACTGCCACTGAATATGTTAATAGGGCACTTCACAGGTCTCTGAGTTTTCCAGGGTCCTACACAATCCTTGTTCTCCTACAGGTTTAAGCCTACTTCTGCACAGGTTAGAGAGGACCTATTTAGAGAGCTCTGTTTCAAGTACAAGAGTCGGAGGACTTGGGCAGAATGTGTCAAGCCTGCATCTGCACGCCAAGAAGCAGATCGGTAAAGGATCACTTCTGCTTCCTGCTTCTGAAACAAATTCCCACCCTGCTGGGCCATTACAGCCCACCAGAGCTGAACAGCTGTCACGAGGAGCTAATCCAGAGGCTGACTCTTCCTTTCTCCTACAAACCTGGTTGGTGCTGTCAAGCAGCAGAAGCTGTCTGAAGAGGGATCTTAACAGTTACTTGTGAAATACTTCTCTGTCCCTCCTCTTCCCATTGAACCCTTCCGACATTTTCCTACCTACTTGCCACATCACTGTGAGCAGTAACAAACTCTCCTTCAGGTGCCGTATTAGAGAGAGATGTGATTTAGGATTATACCATCTCCTTGCAGTTTTGAAGCCAATTCTCTAATTAGGACTTAAGGATAAACCCTCCCACAGAACCACATACATAATCAGATGTCATGTTGTGTGTCACCATAACACAGAAGGAAATGTGGCTCTCCAGTAAGTCCTAGATTGACAGTATATATAAGAAGTATTCAAGAAAATGAAGGTACTCCTAAAAGAAACCAAAACTTGTGATATCTGAAATTAATTTGGATTGCATGGCTCTAAATAGATTCAGTGTTTCATAGATGGCCACGGTGAGCTATTTTTTCACTTCAAATGCAAGTTCTCACTGCAACTTGACTGTAAATAGCAAAAGGCAGAATTTACACCAGTGCACCACAGAACTGAACTTTTTAGGTGCCTAAAATCCTGGCATAACAGCAGGTCTATAATGTCTTGGGATTATGAACAATGGCACAAGATGTTGACTGATTATGCAATAAACTGTGATAAGCCAAGCAGATTACGTTCAAGTAAACCAGGTGGTCAGATAAACAGAGCATCTACTGATGGCACACAACTCCAGATGAAGAAACAAATCTGGTTATCTACACTTGCTTCCCATTAGGTCCAAAACCAACTTGCCATGGGAAAATAGCGTCTCATACAGAAATAAATATATATATGCAATCAGTTTTAGCCTTTTATGGAAATAAACAAAAGGAGACAAATACCAGAAGATAACCTAAAAGCCTTAAAAGGAATAGAAATACTGTGCTTGTACATTCATTCAGCAGCCTTAGGAAAGTCAAAATTGGCCTTTCCCAGAAGCAGTGGAAATCTTCACATCTCAACTAAAAGTCTTTTAGTTAAGTAGCTGAAACACAGCATTCTTTATCCAAAATGGAAATCAATGAAATTGCTGAGGGGGAAGGGACAGGACTCTGTCTTGCAGCTTCGGTTCACGCTTCCTTTTCACTTTTGCAATATCTCATTTTAACAGGTCTGGGTACTGAAGCCCTGCTTCCCCAGTTAACTTTAAAGAAGAATGAACCAAAAATCTGTCCTTTCAGATTCTTTTATATGGCAGAACATATGCGGGAGACACAAGCCCAGTTTTTAAGTCTCTTCCAGGTTATCTTTTGGAGCAGCTGTATAGCAAGGCAACAAATATTAATATAAGCTAGTTTTCTTCATGATTCTCAAAAATTCTTGCTCGCTTACTTCTCCATCTCCATCTCGATCAGCTTCATCAATCATTTCCTACAATATATATTGTACATTTGATCAGGCATCAGACTCTTAAACACAAGATCTTCCATTCATTAAAACAACAACAAATCTGAAGCGCATCATGTGAAAACATAACTACGTATTTGATTGTGCTTCCTATTTCTGACCTCTCAGCCCTTTTTGTATAGGCATAAATTCCCACCCAGTCCTTAGGAACTACAGGATTGGTTTATGCCTGTTGGGAAACCTCTGGCAAATCAGAATTTACCTGAAGTTCTTCATCTGTTAAATTTTCTCCCAGTTCCTTGGCAACCCTTTTCAAGTTTTTGAATGAAATTTTTCCTGTCCCATCATCATCAAATAATCTGAAAGCTTTCAAGATCTCTTCTTTTGAATCCTTTTCACTCTAAAACAAGAGTAAAACATACATAAATTATACAACACCTGCCACTGAGATACTACTTTTCAGTATTTTTAATGCTATCACAAGAATTTCTGTTAAGAATTCCTACCATTTTTTGTGTCATCATAGCCAAAAAGTCTTCAAAGTCAATGGTGCCACTTCCTTCTTTGTCAATATCTGCTATCATTTTCTTAATTTCTTCCTTCTTTGGCTCAAAGCCTAAAGCACGCATCGCAACCTGTGCCAAAAAGCAATTCTGTTAGGAGGCTGCCAGAATTACAGTGACAGCAGCTGCACTAAAGCTTGTTTAATTTCCTCATTCAAAACTGTAATAACTCGTCACACAATGAAAGCACCTTGATACCTCTTAACTGCTTGTTTTATCTTTCCAAATAGTACTAGTGTAGGTTTGGTATTCTTAAGACCTGGCCATATTTTCTCTTTAGATCCATGTGGAACATTGATATACTTCTAGAACTAAGAGAAACTTTTTGTGTCTGAATTAGGTAAAGGTTCCAATTTACATTTCTGAACTACAGATTTATTTTCAACATAGTTCTTAAAGGGACTGGATTATCAAAATGGGACTTCAAGGGAGGATGGAGACTGGGGATGTGATCTCACTCAATTTGAAATATAGGGCAGAAGGCCCATTCATTTTGATGGGGCTGAACTACATGCAGTTAACCTACACAATCCAGCAGACAGAGTACAAGACATCCATATGCATAGCTTTTGGCACTTTTGGCTGTGTGGTGGGGAGCGGGGACCTGAGAGGGCAGGCAACTGACAATACTCTGAAAGTCTCAGCCTCAGCAAATCAAAGACTGACTGCTGTGCTAGTTGAGGAAAAGAAAAGCAAACCTTCTGAGCCTTACAGAGCACAGCAAATGTTCCTGTAAAAAGAGTTTTTGTGTAAACTGTTGTACAAATGCTTAATATTAACATTGATTAAAATCAGGCTCTGGCATTTCACCTGCCTAGAATAATGATTTTGCGACATGGATGTTTATTAGTAATTTCACAATCCTGGTGTGCCAGATGATTACAGCATATTTAATTCAAGAACACGTAACTAGAGGAAGATTTGAACTGTGAACATTCATTCTTCCTATACGCTGTAGTGGAAATCAATAGTTAATATTTGGCAGAAATTTTCTTGCTAAACACTTTTCTACTGGAAAGTGCCAGCTCACCAGAAACTTAACATTTAACTGAAGTGTGTTTCCTGACCAGTTTCTTGCGATGGGACAGCTGAAAATGTTCCGTTTTGTCTTTCAGAGGGGAACAGTTTCTATTGTAATGTATCAGTATTTTTTAATTAATTTTGAAAAAGAAGAGCATAGCATGAAATGGTTGATGCTAAAATGTTTCAGTCCATTTTAAGAACAGTATTTTAACATGTATAGTCTGCGTTCAAAGAATGTGGTCTTCTTAACCAAGCATTATGTACGTCCAAATAAATCCTGAGATAAACCATAGCTTTAGGTAACTCATGTTTTTAGGTAACGTACACAGAAATTGAGACGGTGTGTGTGTACATGAAAAATCAAGGTCAAGGAGATAATTAAGATAAAAGGTTCGGGCTTAAAAAAAGATCAGATACCAGTAAAACATAGGCAGAGAACTGGGAATAATGTTACCCTTGTACTACTGTGTGTATGTACAGGCGTGCATGCACAGACACTACCTGACACTACTGAAGTGCAACTCAGATCTGTTCTTTTATAGATTAAAAAACAGGTAATTTTTGTAGTACACATGAAAATGTGCTTCTGTCTTTCCTGAATGTGTGCAAAATGTGTGTTTAGTTCTGAGATGAAGAAAAAAAATTGATATTCTGACATGCATCCCAAAACAGAAGCCCAATTCCCAGAAACAATGATCTTAGCCAGTCATGGAAACTGAAACGTGTACTGTGTGTACCTAAACAGAGGAACTGTTAAGTTCCTCTACCACTCGGATATTCAAAGCTATCTGATTACTCTCCATGTATTAGAGGTCTGTCTGCTCTGAAGTATTACATACAGAACTGTCTTGGCATAACCATGTAGCACACCCCAAATTCAGTCATGATGGCAAGCCATTACTCTTGTTGTACTTCAAAACTATTTTAAAATAGTTACTGCTGGACAAACAGAAAAAGCAGCTATAATTTTGAGACCAAAGATATATCCATCCAAGAAAAAGTTTGAAAACCTTCAGTTCTTTTATGTCGATGGTTCCAGATCCATCAGTATCAAACAAATCAAAAGCTTCTCTGATCTCCTGCTTCTGGTCTTCTGTAAGTTCAGGTTTCAAGCCACTTTTCTTCCGCTGGGCTGTACTTAAGCCAGGTTTTCTATAGTTGGATGCCTTCAGAAATTGAAAAGATAATAAGTAGCCTACTCTAGGGAAAAATTCAAAACACAACTAAATTATAAATCACAACAGTGAAGCCGTAGCAGAAGTGAGAGATTCTTTGCTGCAAGTGGTAGACACTGGGTCTCCGCACATTTTCTTGGGTTTTTCTGGAAAGAAAACAAGCTGAAGACTTTGTTACTGGGGAATAAGCATCTGGGCTTCATGTTTTTTGTTTTAAACAGAAAGATCATCAGTTAAAGGAGTAATGCCAGAAAAACAGCCAGGCAGTCTGAAAATGAACACTCCTCTGAGGTGAGGAAGACCCTCTGCACCTCCTGCTGGTTGCTTTGATTTGTCAGGAGTGGTTTCACCTGGAAAACCTAAGTAAATCATCCTCACAGCTAAAAAGGTTGGTTATATAGGGTCTATGACTGCAAGTGGGACTCAAATTCAGCCACTTCTCAAAGTGAACAGTGAAATGGGATTCCTGAGAGCACCTGTGCTGTTGAAGGAATGCTTAAAGGGAGGTGTGTAGCTCTAGCCTGCCTGTCCACCAGCTAGCTGTGCTGCTAGGTAACAACATGCTGTATTAAGAGTGAGATCAACACAGAATCTGTCCCATATAGAGGACTAATCTGCTTGTGCTGAGCTTGTGCATTATTAGCCAGGACACTTCTGCAACCTTTCCTGCTTCTGGTGGAATCTAGTGTAGTACTGTGAGTGGTTTCCCCACCCCTGCCATTGAGCAGGAAATACATTTTTCTTGAGTATAGGTTTTCTTCTAAATCAGCAGCAGACAGATTTTAGACCTTCAGTCTTGAATCTGGACAGATTCATGGAAGGAAGGGCAGTCCCTTCCACCCTAACTTTAACTGGTTGGGCTTTAAAAAAGGAAATAAAACAAATATCAAGAAAGGAATTTGTTTTCTGGCTATTGCTGAGCAATCTCTTCACCTCTGCTGAACAGTTAGAACTTTTTGGCTGGGATCTCTCTTTGAAATACCCAATGTGTAACCCAGAAGATTCCCCTTTTGTTGTATTTGGAAATTAAATTTCATTTTTAACACGATTTGTCCCTTGCAAGTTGGATTGCAAACCAATTTGTCTGGCATACTTCTTACTTTTCCCTGCTATTAACCCAGGCATCAGATTTTAACCATGTATATTCCACTCTCAGAGAAACCCACAAAAGATTTTCCTGGGTATAAAGAGAGAAATCCTAACACATCACAGAATCACAGAATCACAGAAC